CAAGGGTGCTTTGCAGGGAAGGTGACCCCTAACTAAGACCCACACCCGAGGTTATTGCCAAAAAAAAAAGTCTGCCACAGGGTCTGTGGGCTCTGCTGTCACTGTCACCTGCTTTTCCTGCTCCCCTCTCCTTATCTTGAAGACCGCAGCCACAAGGCAGCAGCACAGTCGGGTTCTCGGCACTGACCACGTTGTGCCAGAGCAGTTTTGTGTGTGCAGGAGGAGAGAGGAGAAGCTCTCCAGAGCTGCAAACCCCACGCCTGGAGCTGGTCGGAGCAGCAGCAGTGGTGGGGCAGAGCGGAGAGGTTGGCGCGGAGCAGGAGGCACCCAAGGAGGGCTCCACTCAGCCCCACAGCGCCCTGGGGCCAGGCACGAGCCTGTGAGTCCTGGCACCCCACAACCGACAGCAGACAGATTTCCTTAATTTGGGTTGTTGTCACGAAGAGCCCGGGTTTCTCCTGGGAGCCCCCAGTCATCCAGGCAAATGATTTGACACGCTGCGTTTTTGAGCATCACCGTTGGATGCTGTGGGTATTCCCGGCTCAAGTTGAGTGAAGCACGCGGGCTTGGAAAGCTCCTTCGCAGGGAATGAACTGTCAGGGAGCCTTGTGGAGGGAAGTTTGGAAGAAACAAGAAAGCGAAGAAACCTCAGCTCCTCTGACAGGGCCAGAACCATTAAAGGAGCACTTAGAGCCCTTAACATAAAAATGCATCAAAGAGGAAAACCAGATGAGAACAGATTCATTTGCCTTGGAGAAATCCTGGCGCTCTGATATGCTGCCTTCCTCGCACTCTGCTCGCTGTGGATTGAAATGCCTTCGGGCAGGAGAGCTGTTTTGTCTAACACACGTATTTGCAGAGGGCATTTTAAAGAGAAGCCTCTCCAGAGAGGCTCCAGCAGCCCACAATAGCAGCTTCCCACTTCATTGTTATGCAGAGCAAAAAGCCCCCAAATCCACAATAATGAAAACTAGATTCCCTTTTAGATAAACACGTTATATCAATGACAAAAAGATGAACCGGAGCTACATCAATGCTCAGAGCATCAAAGAGCTCCAAATCAGGCTTCAGACCTGCTAACGATGCCATCCACTGCTGCTTGGCGGGCTGCACGAGCGCCAGACCTGCTCAGACGTCTCCAGGACCCCTCACCAAACCCCCAGTGGCCGTCACTCTTGCAATGCCACAGGGATTAGGGGGCTGCACAGCCCTACAGAGTGCGCAGGAGGTCGCACCCATCGGTGATGCCAAACCTGGGGAGGATGGCGAGGCATTTGGGAGCGTGTGAGCACAGCCAGAGCATCCAGACCCTGGGAGCACCAAGCCCTGCCTGCTCCCACCGTGCTCCCCACTACCAAACACCCCAAGGACAGCCAGGGGGTGACACCACGAGGGCAGCAGCACAGACCCACCTCCACCACCACAGCCAGCTCAGCATCAGCCCCATTCCTCCCACACGTGCCTCTTCCAGCCCTGCACCAACCCCCAGGGAAGCCCTAGGTTTGCGCAGTGTCCCTGCAGAAACCTGGCACCCCCGAGGAGGCCGCGTGCGGTGCGCTCCGGCGAGCCCCTGCGTGCCCCTAACCCCGAGGTAAGGCGTGCTCTCAGCCCTCCGACTTTCAAACCCACCTCTGTTTATTCCCCTCCATAAAAGTATGCGGCCGAGGGAGCGCTGACACGCTGCAACATCTGGGACTCATCTCAGCCCCTTTGTTGAGCAGTGAGTCAACAGAAGGTGTGATGAGAGCCAGATGTTCGGCTCTAGCCATACATCATAAGTGGAGTGGATTACAATAAGGGGACAAATAAAGAGGAAGGCCTGTGAGAATATGTGGAGCCCCTGGAGGCCTTTAAAACCGATTTTAAAAACCCATTTCCCTGGATTCAGAGGGAATTTTATAGAGTAGAGCCAGCAGAACGCGGGCTGTTTGTTGCCAGGCCAGGCGACACGGAGCCGGGGCTTCAGGCAGGAATAAACCCCCGGTTTCCTGCAGCGGGGAACGTTCACCAGGACCCAGACTGGTGGGAGCGGGGCTGGGATTTGCCCGCTTGAAGGCTGGAAGGGAGATGGCAACCAGCAAGGTGTCTCCTCACCTGTCCTCTTCTCACAGCAGCTTTTGGGCAGGATGGGTCTTTTCCCTCCATCCCCACCAAAAATCCATGGGGAGCGGGTACCCAAGGGCAGCCACCAGGCTCAGTCCCATTTCCTGAAGCCCCCCTGCCCCAAACCAGCCCTCGTGCAGGGGGTGTTGGTGCTCACACCGCCCGGGTTCCTGCCCCAGGGCTCCTGCTCCACCAGAGCACTTTGCGCCCTCCCCGTGCCACCGAGAACCGCGTGCAGGAGGACGTAAAATTAAGCCTAGTTTTAACTGGGACAAAAATTGCAGGATTATGGGAAACTGCAGAGCAGACCCATCGGTCAGAGGTCACCAGGGGGGGTCTGGGGGCAAGAAGTCCCTCGTCATCAAGGTAATTAGAAAATCCCCGGTAGTGCGCGGGCACCTCTGCCTGGCACAACCTCGGAGAGGCCACAGCAGGACCGAGGTGCCCGAGGTGCCCACGCCTTCATACCCGGCGTGCCTCACCTCCCTTCTGGCTGCAGCCCTTCAGACAAGCTCAGACAGGCCACAAAAGCAGTCTCGGCCTTTGAATGTCCAAGGAGTGCCTGCAGTTCCAGCCGCCAGCATCCTTCAGAAGCTAATGCGAGGTTCTGTGTGATTCCCATGTGCCCGAAACCCTGTGGTTCGCTGGTAGGGTTTAGGGGTTAAAGAGTTTAATTTAGGCAAAGCCTTAGAACCATGGGGTGAAAAAGCAAATGTGGGTGCTGCTTCAGCACCCGGGGTGATGGGAGAGGATGGGGCCCCAAATGGTGGAGCTGTAGGGCCACCACCTTGCCCCCTGCTCCAGCAGCCCAGGTCCTCTCCCCAAAAGTCCTCTCCCCATGCAGGCTGGCACTGTCCCACACTGTCTCTTGGGCACCTTTGATGCAAAAACAGCACCCTGGCAGGCAGGAATTCACCCACATCACCTCGCCATGGCCTCATGAGCCTCCAGGTGCTGCAGGATGCCCCTCAGCCCCCACGCGCCTCATCCTCCCCTTCCCCAAGGCAGGCAAACCAAATGCATTTAAGGAGACAAATGGGATTTTGTTTACAGCTCGAATCCACTCTTTCCTGTGCCTCATCCAAGAGATAATTTCAAATGGAATAGAACATCACCCCGGGATGATGTTTTCCTGTTGCTACACGAACGCTGAGGCTAAATCAAAACATTTATCGGAAGTAGACGCTGCAGCAAAAGTGGGATGTTCTTGTGAAAACCAGGAGACGTCTGTTCGGTGACAGCCTCCTGTTCCAAGGGCTTTCTTCCGACTCCGCCAGACTGCGTAAACAAGAGCGGAGCAGCACGTTAAAGCATCGCAGGTTTTGTTTTGTCTCTGCGCCGAACGGTTGCTCAACGCACCAGGGCTGAAAAACTGCATCCCCCATGCTGCGGCACCCCCAGGTCGATGATTTCCACCCCTGCCTCCAACAACCCCAGCCCAGTTGCTCACCAAGAGCCCCACAGAGCCCAGCAGTCCTCCAAAGTCCCCCGGGGGGGCTCAGGAGCAGCTCGTCCCTTCGGTGGGGGTTTGCTGTGCTCCGGGTGCTGAGCATCTCCAGCCCTGCGAGCACCCGGGTGGGCACCCTGAAACCCAGGGCCACACGGGCAGTACCCACATCCCAGCTTAAGGAGGTGAGCTGATCAGAGGTGGGCCTTTACCAGGAAAAAAAAAAAAAGACAAATCCAAACCCTGCAACATGAGGCAGACTTGAACTCAAAGGTCAGGGGCTGGTTCATAAATTAAACCCAAAGCAGCGCTCCGGGGGTCATCGGAAAGCTTTGCTTGGCTCCTTGCGGTGCTCACGGGGGGCTGTTGGGGAAAAGGGAGCTTGGTGCTGAGGAGCAAAACGAAGCACTTGACGGAGCTGCGCTGCTGGCTGCACACCCCTGATGCTTGCAGGCACTGCTCTGCTTCTCCCCATGTGGCCCCCACACAGGGCAGGGGGCGCACGGGACTGCTGGTGCCATGCCGAGCCGTGCCAGGCCGTGCCAGGCTGTGCCAAGCCATGGCCATTTCTTGGTGTGAGGTTCCTCGTTGCTCCTGCACCCATTTGCCCTATTCCCAGTTCCCGACCTCACTGCCCTGCACCCCAAAAAAGCCCCGACCTCTCCACTGCTCCCCAATTCCCCGTGATTCCGCTGGAGGTGACAGCCGGGTATTCCATGGTGTGAGCAGGCTGGAAAGCATCGAGCCACCCAAGTTCTGGGCGACTCCTAAACCAGCCAGCAGGGTGTTGCTGCTGTTTTCCCCCATTTAATTTGTTTTTCCTGACCCGCAGCAGTTCTGCTGCACCCCATGCATCATTAACGAGCACTCCAGCTAATGAGGGATCCCACCCTAATATGGGACACGGCTGTTTGGAGCCAGCTGGGATGCCGCACGGAGCTCCCCTGAGCTTGGTAGAAGCAAAACACGAAATAATCCTCCCCAATGGGATGCTGGAGAGGAGCCTTTGGGTGCCAAAGCACCGGGTTCCCACAGCAGCACCACGCGGTGCCTCGTTAGGTCCAAATTCGTGCATCCAGACCAAACCCTGGTTGCCTGGGGAACGCGATGCATCTCCTGCCCACGTGCATGGATGGATTTCATCCACACCCCGGGGCTGCAGGGCGCCTGTGCACGGCTGGGGTGCAAGGGGAGATCCCAAATCCCTGCAGAGAACATGGGGTGACCCCAGCATCGGGACAAAAAAAAAATAAAGGAAGAGCAAAGCAAACGGGGCACCAGCAGCCAGGTGCTGAACGCCGAGAGCTGCCCGCCCCGCCGCCCATCACAGCCGCCGAGTGGCTGACGCTGGTTTATTTTTAATACTTAATGAGATAAAAGGTTGGAATTGCTTTTAAGCCTTAAATTGCCTTAGCCCTTTTTATCTTTAAAAACACAACAAGCAATTTCGGAGGGTATTTTTTTTTTTTTTTTTTAAAGTTTGTTATAATGATTCCTGGTAGCTATTATGCTGGAAATAAGGCTCTTTCAAAGACTGTTGGGATACATTAAATGTTTCATTTTTCAGTCTCCGTTTCTTTTGTTTTTGATCTCCATTCAGATTGATTAAAGACACTGACTGCTCAATTTTGATTAAATCCTAAATCATAACTGGCTTACAAAACAACTGTGAAAGCTGACATTTATGAAGTTCAGTAAACTAGTTGTAAGAACAGGAGTGCGAGATGGAAAAAAATAATAAAATTCCTTTCCAAACAAACATCGGTTGACAGCAAACAGATGGTTAGAGGCTCTTACTTGTAAACTGGAAAAATTAAGATTTGGCAGGTTCTGTTAAAAAATAGTTACAAAACATCTTAAAGTTTTCCCCTTCATATCCTGGTGTTGCTCTGGGCATCGTTTCAATATTTTCATAGGCTACTGCACAGAAAAGGTTCTGAATACATGAAAGCAGCTGGCATAAAAGGGCTCAGAAATACTAGTTAAGATTTATAGGAAGCGAGGTTGCCAGCATCCCAAAGATGCAGTATTTAAAACCCAGCTCCTCAGCCCACCAATAAATCACTGGAACTTAGCAGCCTAGCTCCAGTTTCATCTCCAAAGGTGCAGGAAAAGTGGGCAAAACGTAACCTCGGTAGATTTTTCCCTATTTGTTGACTTACCCCTGCGATAATGTTAAGCTAATGTTTTTGGGCTGAGCAGAGCCACGTTAAATTAAAAGTCCCCAGCGCAGGTTCCCCGGCCGGAGGGGGGATTCCAGCCAGAGACCTGCTGCTCGCAGATGAATTTCCTCCTCCTCGGAGCCGCGAGGCACAAAAGGTCCAGGGGACGCCTCCGTCATCTGCTGGCGTGAATTAAACCTGCTTGCGGCAGCGGCTGCTGCTACAGCCCCCCAGCCCAAATCCTCCAGCCCAAATCCCCGTGGGCTGAGCCCCCAGGACCCCATCACTTGTGGGGACAGCCGGGTGGCCACTCGTGGTCCTTGATTTTTCCCCCAGCCGGCGGGCAGCGGCCGCTTTTCCAGTGCCAACAACTGAACCGCTCCGCGCTCGGAGGAGAGTCAATGGGGCCTTGTCTGCAACCTGAATTACTGGCCTGCAAACAATCATTTCGGAGTCAGCATCCGAGGCCAGTTCCTCTCCTTTTCTCCCTCCCCTCCCCGCGCTGAAGCAACCACCGAAACCATTTGCAAACTGTTTGCGATCGCTCTGGGCAAAACCAAGAGGTTTCGGCGGCTCCCTGCGAGCTGCTGGGGAGCCAGAGCCCCTCGGCTGGCGTGTTCCAGCGCACACCGAGCGAAAATATCCTTGCAGGCTGAAAACAATTTTAATTTTAAGATCAAAGCGAGCTGCAGGAAGGAGGCAGGGAGGCGGCCGGGAGGCAGCGGGTCCCGCCGTGTCTCTCCTCCCTAGCGCAAGGAGAGCTGCAAGCGATGAGACCCCAGGGCCGAGGCATTAATTGGGGCTGTGGCTGAAGTTTGCCATGGGTCTGAGAGCCCAAAGCCTCCCTGAGATGCCACCAGCAGCCGTGCCAGCCCTGCTGGTAGAGCAGGGTCACCAAAACCCCCAGCAGAGCCAGCGAGGGAGCGCATTCACCCAAAATCGGGGCCAAAAATCACCCCCGGCACAGCTTACCTCCTACTGAGCCTACAGGGCACTTGGGGACATGTGTCGGTCACCTCCCAGAGGTGACGTTCCTCTTTTTCTCCCCACCAATGCCCAACCGAGTGTCCCCAGGATGCCCGTGTGAAGCTTCTTCCAGAGAAATCGTCGCCTTTCTCCGTTTCTGTAGGAGCAAAAATCCCTGGAGAGCCGGGGCTTCGTTGCCTCTGCTTCCTTCCCAGGCAAAGCGCGCTGCAGAGAGATGCAGAAACACGTTACAGAGAGAGGAAAACATGCAGGCAAACATTTTTGAACCTCACAGCAAAGCTTTGATCCTCGTTTCATCTCTGGGTCAAGCCTTCCTTTGGCGGAACCTGGGTTATCATTCTTACATCTAAATCCCTGGAAAAGAAACCCCCCCATCTCATGAGACATCAAAAACCTGTGCTCAACAGAGTGCTAAAAATAATCTCCTCCAGGGAGCAATCCTGTTCTGCCCTGGAGGGGAACGGAAAGATGAGTTAATAGGTCTTTTCCAGCTCTGGTTCCTGTAATTCTGCAAAAAAAAAAACCAAGGCTGACTCTTCTGTTTACTTTTCTGAATATGCAAAACTCCTCTCGCATCAGCTCCGCGGGTCTCCGTCCCAGCCTCAGACCAGAAATCCCGGCTGCCTTGCTGCCTCCCAGCTTCGCGAGCGCCTCGGAGGTGTCTGCTTTTTTTTAATCTTCCTCGTTCCCCACTGCAGCTTTTTTCCTTTCTCTCCCTGCTCCTTCGAATGAACGCTCACACCAAGCGCCGGCTGCTTCCAGGGGACGGCTTCGAGCTGCCAACTTGCCTCCCTGTGAAGAATCCCCTTCCCTGTGTGCCGAGCAGAGATAATAAATCAGGGGGGCAGGAACGCTGCCGTCCCCCCCGGCCAGCACAGCGAGCGGCTCCTTGCACCGGAGGGGAAAAAGACCAGGAGATTTATCCTGCAGCTGCCCGTCCACGTTGCAGGCACACGCCGTGGCACTGGCTGCACTTGAGCTGGCAGATGGGAAATGGGCTGCTTTTCCTTAAAAAAAGGAAAAAAAAAAAAAAAAAGCAAAACAGCAAACCCAACAAATGTCAAGTGCATTTATGAGCGTGCCTCCAGCCCTGCTGTGGATGGGAGCTGAAGGTTTCTCCCTGGAGCCACGGCCACCAAATCGGCCAGGGCTTGCCTGTAGAAGTGCTGCAGGGGTTTGGGTTTGAGCATGGCCACGGCTGGCCCCGTGTTCACCCGCACCCCACTGTGATGTTTGTGCAGCCCTGGAGCTTTCAGGGCCATGGAGCAGCCACCTGGGCCAGCCTCATCCGAGCTGCAGCGTGACCAGTGCCCCCCAGCCTGCTCCCACATGCAAATTCCCACTCGTTGTTTGCTGCATTTTGCTTTGGTCTTGCATTTTATTTAGTTATTTTATTTTATTTTATTTTATTTTATTTTATTTTATTTTATTTTATTTTATTTTATTTTATTTTATTTTATTTATTTATTTTATTTTATTTTATTTTATTTTATTTTATTATTTTATTTTATTTTATTTTATTTTATTTATATTTTATTTTATTTATTATTTTATTTCATTTTATTTCATTTCATTTCATTTCATTTTTTGTTAATTTAATTTAATTTAATTTTACTATTTCATTTTATTCTATTTTACGCTATTTTACCCAAGGAAGCAAGGACGTTGCTCCCAAGCCCCGACCCTCTCTCCTCATTTGCTCAGCCCTCCACGAGCACATCCACTGGACCGAAATGGCAGCAGATGCTCAGTGCCCCGCAGCTAAATGCCCGTCCAGTTGACCAGACCGACGGTGATGGAGCAGCAGTGGCAGCCCAGCAGGTTGCCCAGAAGTCCCTAACAGCCTGGAGCCGCAGCACTGCCCTGTCTGTAGATTTTATCCTCAAAATGCCACCGTTACCCAGAGTTTAATTAATCTACAGAAATACAGCTGGGTTGCCCTGGAGGAACTTATCACAGATATTAAAATGATATCACGTTCTGTGGCTTTTCAAAAGGTGCTTTAGAATATGGGACCAAACCCAGAGGAGAAAAATTGGGGTTCCTGCAGGGGAACGGCCCTGAGATGTGCTGGGGGCTGAGCTGGGGCTGGGGGCACGATGCTGCCCACCTCCAGCCTGGGATCTGAGCTGGGTCTGCACTGTCTGAAAGCCTCCTGTCGCCCGATGGTGAGGACTGTTGAGTTTCGAGGCGAGGAAACAAAACCAAGCCCCAAGCTCACCCTCCCCTACAATCCAATTATCCGTCCAAGAGCAGAAAATCACAGATGGTTTTGCATGGATTTTCTGAAGGAGCGATACTCCAAATGCTGTTATCTGGGGAGCCATAACAAAATGTACACGGGCACTTATAGCCGCAGCATCTGGAAGGAAAAGGATAAAAATCTACTTATGTGCACGGGCAGACTTTCCAAGAGCAGAGTGCTTCTACAATTCATCGCCTGAATAGGAAGCCGAGCGAGCATCAGCCGAGTCAATGAGCACGAGCCACTGGGAGTCAGCCTTATCCACCACATCCAGGCTGGAGCTGAAAGTGAGAGCAGAAACCTTCCAGGCCCTGGGATTCAAGCGCTGCTGCGCAAATTCAAACCCTCTGTGCGTATGTGGGGCAGCCGTGATTTGCAGCCTCAGACGCTGGGGGGGAGTTTGGGAACAGCTGGAGAGCAACGGCGAGGATGTAATCGCGGAGGATGCTGGAGGGAGAGAGGCGGGGAGGGAGGGAGAGAAGCCACTGGTGGAAATCTTTGTACTTGGGATTCCTCTGGCAGGCGTAATGGAAAGGGGACCGGGCGTAAAGGAAGCAGAACAAAGGACAAAAGTAATGTAAAGGCTTGGCAGAAGGGAGGACTTCTGAAGGCTGCAATATTGAAGGGGTTTTTAAAGGAGACGTTTGAAAAGAAAGCTGCCTGCACTTCAAAATCCGCCGTAGCGCTCTGCTTCTCGCGTGCTTCGGCTCGAGAAGGACCGACAGCAGGCAGAGGGGAACAAAGAGAATTTGTAATAAGGAATCAGAACCGTGGCCCAGCCGTGAGGGGCACACAAGTGGTGTGATGTCTGGCTCAGACGCACGTCCCCCAGAGCTGGCAGAGTCTCAGGAACTCATTACAAAACTTCCAGGGGGATAAAAAAAAAAAAAATCTCTTCGAAAACATTAGCATCAGGCTAAACTGGTGCACTGGCACGCTGCCCACAGAACAATTTATCTTAGATATAAATAGCATAATTAACCTACACGGTATATACATTGCGTACCACCAGGATGACTTTCGGTTGGAAAACAAATAAATCTTTAAAAGTTTAAACCCTGTTTACAGAATTGCCGCTCCATAAATCATCCGGATCATCGAGGCTACTTTATTAACGCTTCTCTGGCTTCATGCTCGAAAGGAGCAGACGGAGAGCTGCAAATAATTTGGAATTATGAATGTTCCCCATCGCACAGCAACTGTCTTTCAGCAGGTAATGAAACTCATGATGTGCTCCCGATCTATGACCGAAGGCTGCTTCGTGCTCGTTTCCTCCCAGCACACAGTTCCAGTTGTGTTCTGCTCACGGGCTGGGGAAGAGGCTGGGATATCTTCGGTGTGCATGGGGGGGAAAGTGGGTCTGCCTGGTTCGGGGCCAAGACTGATGTCACTTGTGTAGGAGCAGATTTAATGCACGGGCAGGTAATGCTGCTGCTCAGGCGCTGAGGATGGAGCACGGCAGCAGGATTAGGGACTGCTGGAAGCAGGTCTGAGCTCCCTCCCCGTGAAAAAACCCCGAACACGTCGCTTTTAGCATCGTGCCCGTCCCCCGTGCTGCTGCTCCTCGGAGTGCAGCAGCCGCAAACACCTCGCCCTTCGGTTGCGATGAGTCAAGCTTAATTAAATCCCGCTAATTTCTGCGACGTCTGGAACAAACCTCGGTCTGTCCTACAGCCAGGCTGGTAACCGGAGGGTGATTTATGGGGCATGCAGAGAGGGATGAGGACGGGAATTGCTGCTGCATCTCCCTTGGTCCGTCTCCAACCTCAGGACCGAGGTTGGCTGAGATGCGAATCCAGCACAAGCCCTGCAGCTCCGGGGTCACATTTACCTCCATGCCATGACCACAAGGACATCCCTTTGCGGTCTGCAGACCCCGGAATGCCCCAAGGGCTTCACACGGTGCAGGGAATCCCTGCAGGCTGCAGGGAGCCACCTCTGCAGGGTGCTGCAGGCTCCCCATGGGTGCCACCGCTTGCAGAGGTGGCTTGGGGCATCCACCACACCCCATGGCAGCTTCCCACCCTCCCTGGTCTGTGAGATGTGTCCCACAGGAGTTATTAGCCACTTGGCCACAAAATCCAGCACGGAGCACTTAATTATCAATCACCTGATGTTTTTATTGTCACTTCTTTCTTTTAAAAAATTGGACAAGGCTTGTGGCCATATGGAAAGCCTTCTCCAAGCAACGTGGCCCTGCACCCTGACCCACCTCAGGCATTTCTGCAGGGACCCCTGGCAGCTCTGCACCCCCCAGGAGGCGCAAAAAACTGCAAAAATGTCCTCACAGCCAGATATTTCCTTGATGTGAGCACAGTCCTGCTCCGTACACACAGCTACCCATTTGCAGACACCAAGGGAGCAATCCTCACCTCCCCCTCTCTATTCTTGTTTCTGTCATAGAGGTGTGCAGGGGAGGCAGAGCAAGGAGAAGCCATAACCAAGAGCAAGGGCATCTCCTGGGCCAGGCTGTCCCCCTGATGGGGTTCAGCATCTCGACCCTCCCCAAAATCAGCACCCCCTGAGCACCCTCTCCTGTCTCTGCCCCCAGCAGCTACCTGGTGCCTCCCAGAATCCAGCCATAGGCAAGGCTCACCTTTATTACAAACACCTCGCAGCATCCCTTACAGAGCCCCTGATTTCCCAAGAGGCCATTTGGTATCTTTTTGGGGACAAAACCCCAAATCTGTGCATCCACACATGGCCACCAGCCCGATAGGTGCCCAGCGCCAGGGACCCACGGTGAGGCTGCCTCTGCGTCGCAGCCCCCCCAGTGCAGCCGCCTCCTTTTATTTTTAGTTGATGGGATTTAGCATAAAATAGTGCTGACCTAGCTGTAATCTAAAAAATTTGCAATCGACAGCTATATCATCATGTGCCGTATTTTTGACTTGCAAATAGCTTCCACGGATAGCGCGGGTGTATTTATTAAACACAGCTAGTGTTGCATCTTTATTTAGCTCCTTCTGTTACCACACTGTATAATTCATGAAATTGCCTTATAAAGTTAGGGCGGAATTAAAACGTTGACCAGCCTGTGAACCGGCGCTGACACTTTAATTATTTTAAAAGGAAAGCTGAGAGAACCTCAAACCTGACAAATAACCTGGTGCTGGAGAGCGGGACCTGCCGCGGAGCTCCCTGCCCTTGGAGCCGGCTTGGAGGCAGCTCCTGCGCCTGGTGCCCTTCTGAATGTGGCTGCAGGCTCCGTCCTGCACCTCCAGGGGAAGTTTTTCCATCCCGGATGAGCTTTTTTTTTCTGCTGGGTGCTGGGAAGCCTTCCCTGAGCCCTCCTGGATGCATTGGCAGCACTTCTCCCTTCTCGCAGGCGGCACTTTGCGTCTCCAACTGAAGCCAGGAGGTTGCAAGAGTGAGACAACTCCAGCAGAAGGGCAAGGATGCTGGCTTGGACAGCACGTGCTGCTCCCCATCAGCTGTGTTTCAGAGCAGACCCCGTCCTTAGGAGGACCTCAGCACAGCATCATGAGGACAGGTGAGGAAACGTTTCACTTTCCAGCTCGGTGACGGAGCCTCGCTCCACGGGAGCAAAATCATGCGCCAGCCTCTCCTGCATGCGATGCTTTCCAACAGCGTGCTCTCTAATAAAATGTTCCCCTCAAGTTCATCTTCACGAGAAAAACTCTGCCTTTCCTTGCATCCCAGTCCTTGTATGCCTTGACTCGTAAATATTTCATTAGCA